TAAGGGCAGCTTAGGGCGCCGGGAAGCGTTTAAGGCCAGCCTACTGCCTAACGTTGCTTTCTGAACCCAGAAGAAAATCTCCGGAAAGCGCCCGGCAGGTGGCCAAGGACATGCTGCTGGGCCGCCATCGCCTAGGTGCTCCTCGGACGCGCTCCCCCTGCCATCGTCTGGGGTCGGCGGACATCCAGCTATACCAGCTATTTTAGGTACCATCCGGGCGCAAGGGTTTTGACTCCATGTCACTTGTTGCACTGTTGAAGTGAACAGCTCCATTCATTCTCTCGATTGCGAAAAAGAAGGCAACGAAGTTTGAAACCATGCCATGTGAATCTGACGACGAGATGACTTTTATAACGCATTACTGCCGCATTACGTTGACGGCAGTTTGGAATTAAAAATAGACCGATGTCCTTGAGTTTTCCATGTCTTTCTTGTGCAGGTAACACCGCTCGCCCTCAACGCTGCGGTGGTGTTTGCTTCTTGGTTGCACGCGCACACACACATAATCGCATGTGTGTATATATATATATATACATACATAGATATGCAACATGTTCAATGTGTCATATGAAGGGTGCATACAATGTGTACATGTTGATACCTTTACCTGCGTCTTCGCATGTGGTACTGTTTTCTGCCGTTTGCCCTATTAAGCCACTGTCCATCAGGGAAATTTCAGCTTCTTTTTGCAGGGGTGTGTTTCAAAAAAATGGGGGTTCCCCTATCAAAATCGGGTGTTTTATCATGTGTTTTTTTTTCACAAATAGTTTTGATGATTTTGGGCTTCCCAGAGATGCTCCAGGGCCAGGGTGGGGGAGGCTATGAAGAGATGGTGAAGATGATGATGGCAAAGTGAGAAACTGCTGAGTTGATGACTTTCATTTGAAAGGTTCGAGAATGATGCAGAGACAGCGGAAGCTTCAGAAGGTGTGGAAGTCAGAAGCACGAACCGTAGCACTGAAGTGGGATTGGAATCGGAAATGCATCATGCGTTGAACCGAGCTGAGTTTTGTTGGCTTTTGCAACTTGTGACAAAGGTGTGTACAGTTTGCCATTTGTCACCCTTGAGTTTGCAAAGGTGAATGACAGACGTGGGTATTGGACCAATGGTATCCATCAGTTTGGTATTTCAGCAAAGTCTTGAACCATCACTTGTAAAAGCGGTTTTGCGCCCAATACCTTTCGCATGTCAAGCTTGCGCATTCCCCTGGCGCTGTATCATGGATCGCGATTGATGCCAAAAAATGTAGGCGCCCAAACTTATCATGAAAATTCTATGCGTCACTGGTCATATATTAATGATATTAATGGCAATATTCTGCATTCAAGTGATTTTGTGGTTTTGTTCAAAATTGGGGGTATCATGGGTCATTCTCCATCATTCTCCCCTATTTTGGAGAAACCCAATCCATAAAACTCTCGTTTTTCGCTAGGGGAACTTGGCTCAAGTACTTTCCCGCGCGTCGCAACGGCAGCGCATCCGAGATGCAGATCTTCGTTGCAGTCTCAGGATTGCTGGGATCCTATGGGATCCTGGAAAATGGTGAGATAGCCTGTAAATAAAGAGTTAGAGCCTGAAAATCAGCTATTTTTAATGGATTTTTAATGGAAACTAGTCTTCCAAGCCCGATGCCAGGGTCGAACTGTTAATTTACCAGAGGGTAAAACATACTGAAAGAATTATGGGATAATCATGTGGGATATTATGGGATTTATGAACCATGTGATGTTTTGTGTCTAAAAAATATATAGCTTCTTTCGGCGGAAAATGAGGATGAACCCTTGGATTTGGGGATTTGGGGAATGGATCATCAGAGTGGCAGTCTTCCCATTGGTGTTGCTTCTATCCCAAGTATGTATGTCCCCAATTTTGCTAGATATATGATGATATATGTATATATATTTATAATTATATATTTATAATTTAATATAATTTATATAGATTGATTTAGAGATATCCCGTCGAATGCTGTATCTTGGTGCATATCCTAACATATGAATCGCTCTATGTTCCCAATTATGTATATTTAGTGAATGGGATGAATGCTATTCAATTACCCGCGAACCATCGATCATTACGATCATTGAGTTTGCGGGTATCTTTTCCAAGGTCAAAACCCTCACGGGCAAGACGATCACGCTTGACGTGGAAGCATCCGACACCATCGACAATGTGAAGGCGCAACAATTACGATCTTTACAATACAACAAGCTGAAATCTCTGAAAGTTATTCAATGATAACCGTATCCTATGTTAATGTATAGTTAACAATATGTTGTGACTGAAGTGAAGTGAAATGGAATATACTTCGAAAACCTAGGGCCTAACAATACTGGCAATCCTGTGAAAGGTTCCTTTTTGCCAAGCAGTTCATAGTTTTCCCAATCCCGCGATAGGCCAAGATCCAAGACAAGGAGGTCCAGGGCTTTGTCGGCCACTGATGTTTTCAGTTTTCTGTCACATAAATTTTGGGGGATGAACAATGGCTTAATAGTGGGACTATAATGGGTTAAGAATTGGACTATACTGTAATGGGTGAAATATCCATAACAATCTAATTATTTGATATTATTTGGTGTTCACATGTGTTCACAGGAACACACGGCGTTTGACTCATACTCATAATTACATTGGATGATTTGGATGCTCTTAAATGCGCTTGACTTGTCCCATTTCGATGGTTTGCAAAAAAAAATGATTACCGTAGACTCTCTAGATTTCAAATTCCTTTGCTAACCCCTTGAAGATGAAGCCAACCAAACATGGTGAGACCCATGTCGAAGCACTAAGGGCATTCCTCCCGACCAGCAGCGATTGATCTTCGCTGGAAAGCAGCCATGCACTGAGAAACTCAACGGCTTCGTGCAAGCTGACTGGCTGGCTTCAACAGCTCCAATGTGCCCAACCATGCCCAACCCAATAAAACTAAAACCTACCATGACTGGGGATGGTAAACATAGCACCCCTCAAACATGGCTTTCCTTGGGGATGATGATGATGATGATGATGATGATGGCCGATGGCTTTCCGCAAATGTTGAGGTTGGAGGATGGCCGCACCCTTTCAGACTACAACATTCAGAAGGCGATGGCCTCACCGACGCTTTTCGTCAAGGGATGTCATTCGGGTCAGCGTTCGTGTCCCAGGAGTCCACGTTGCACTTGGTGTTGCGTCTTCGCGGTGGTGTCATTGAGCCTTCTTTGGCCGAGCCTTGGTGGGAAAATGTCGAAAAAAAACCGGAAAATCGAAACACTGTACATGTCATCAGATTAGATTGGTGGGAACATTTACAGGAAGCCAGGGGTCTTACATGTTCTGACCCTTCTCAGCCTTTTTTTATGATACATTCACCAGGGTTCATGGACAACTGAAACATGGGCGGATTTCCCCAAGGTGCTTGCCCGAAAGTTCAACTGCGAGAAGATGATTTGCCGCAAGTGCTATGCTCGCCTCCATGTTTCTCGGACAGATGGCAGGAACCTGGCAGGTTGCTGGTCAGCCTTGGGTATGGGTCAAAAGGATGGACCCCAAAATGACAAAATGTGTTTGTTTGCTTGTTAACTGATTTAACTGGATGGTTTAATAGGCTTTCATATGACAAGCCTTGGCTCCATGGGTAGCCCCAAAACACGCAAGGCTCGGGCCGTGAACTGCCGCAAGAAGAAGTGCGGCCACAGCAACCAGCTCCGCCCCAAGAAGAAGCTGAAGCAACTCGTCCCTGGATTTGGTGGATCTCAGCGAAGAAACATGAAGAAACATCCCAAGGAAAATCAGATGACACCAGATCATTGATATTCATTGATGATCATTGCCTGAAACCCATTGAAATCATGTGTGTTGATTGTCTTGTCATGCGAGTCATGCGACTGACTGACTTCTACAAAAAATGGTCATCCAAGGTAAGCGAATCCTCTGGAGGCTGCAAGCTGTCCCTGGTCGGGCTGCTTTTGGCAGGTTCAAGTCGAGCCGATGCGCGGACGCGGGGAGTGCTTAAGAGGGTGCTTAAAATGGAGCGGCTGCGGATCAAAGTTGGAAGATATTTGAAGTATCTATACGTAGATGACTCGTAGATGTCGACATAGTGTTGTATGGTCAATATTTGACAATAAACATGGGATGAAATGAGCTGCCCGGACTGCACAAGATGAAGTGGTTGATGTCATTGGACATGGAATGGCAAGGCACGTGCTACTACAGCCAGGACAAATGCTGCAAGTGCATGCATGCGAGTGCTTAGCTTCTGAGTTAGAGGTGAAAATGGGCCGAAGAGCGTTCAATGGCTCGAGATTTTATAGAATCGGACCAATGCAGAACTATATAATTGCTCACACCAGATCCAGTGATTCTCATAGGAAATGACATGGCTTTTCACCACATTGTGCCTGCAGTCAGCATCAATAGAGGTAATGCAAAGCAGCAAACCCGGCAAAACCTCCTGTAGATAGAGACATTTCAAGTGTTGTGTCAGTTCATCTTCACAAAAAAAGAATGAACTCCTGTGCACCTTAGCGAAATGCGCCTGAGAGGCAGGTCCTTTTTATAATAAAACTTGAAACTGGGTGAGGTTAGCCCTGCATTCACCAAATGTTACAGCTTTTGACCATCAAAAAAGGGGGTAAATAAATGCAAACAAAGCAGTGGGATAAAGATGGATAGAGATCTATAGAGATGGATAGACATGGATATACATGGAGATACAGAGATGGATAGAGATGGATAGAGATAGATAGAGATGGATATATAGAGATGGATAGAGATAGATAGAGATGGATAGAGATGGATAGAGATAGATAGAGATGGATATATAGAGATGGATAGAGATAGATAGAGATGGATAGAGATGGATAGAGATAGATAGAGATGGATATATAGAGATGGATAGAGATGGATAGAGATGGATATATAGAGATGGATAGAGATGGATAGAGATGGATAGAGATGGATAGAGACAGATAGAGATGGATAGAGATGGATAGAGGCATTATTTGAAAGCTCAGCACTGGGCGGTTTGCGTACCTGGACATCTCCCCAACCTGCAATTCAGGCCTTAGAACCACCCCGGATACACATGGGGTCATTGTTCGGACCTTGAAGTCCCCCCAGCAGAGGTAGAAATGTGTTGCTGTCATTTGGTTTCTCTGTTTAACCGCAAATTAACCATGATTTCCAGACCTGGTGTTGATTTTGATGTTTTGCAGGCCTCATTGGTTGCTCTCTTTGCTGCTTTGCCGGCATCACCGGCATCACATTTCTGGGATCAACTCGATGTAGACACTCGGAGCACGAAGGTCTCGTGCTATGGAGGAAAGCGCTGTTCAATGCATGAAACACTGCTGTTCAATGGTCAAAACAGACAAGTGAACCTATCTTCACCAAATCTAAGATGTTTGCATCAGCGGTTCTTCAATTTTGTGGAAGTCAAAACCATTCAAAACCCTGCTTTTCGAACATCGAAAAATAGCTGAGAAATCTATTTCTGGATGTTCATCCCCAAAGGAATAGATATTGGGGGGGCTTGGTCATCACTCCATTTCAGAGGGATTTACATATCCATGATTTGAGGATTTCCATGGCAACGGGATGGATGACCATAAACCATTAATATCAAATATATCAAGCTGGTGTACCGCAGAGTGTACCGCAGAATCCCATGAACCAATATGAATGTAATGAACCAACTATTCCCGGTATGGTTAAATCCCATGAATATCTATATTTGATGTAGGTTATCATAGGTTGTCCCATATAATTCATATATATATATAGAATCCCATTAATATCTATAATATTTCTATAATAATATTAGATACCCTCTGGTAAACAAACATAGCTATTGAACATGGCCATAGAAATAGTTGATATACCGATATACCCATGAAACATGGTGATTTTCCAGTTCGTTATGTAACAGTTTACCAGAGGGTATGGATGGTTAATCCTATATCATCTATAAATATAGATAAATATCTATAACATTCTATAACTATCTATGGATAGAATTATCCCATCTATAAATATCTATGGTTACGGTTAATCCCATATAATCCCATAACATCGCCATGAAAATCTCCCATTCGCCATGACCATTGCCGCTGAGGTCCCCGTCTCGGTGCCCGTCTCCGACCTCGGGCGCAGGCGGAAGACAGGGGATCCGCCAGTGGCCCCTTGGACCAGTCCCTTCGATGCAGGGCATGCCGAAAGATATCCATGGAAATCCATGGAAATCCATAGCAAGATCCAGAACTGAAGTGAACCATAGTAGATCATAGTACACAAATTGATCACAAAATGATCACTTATGATCACTTATGATCACTTATGATCAGTTATGATCACTTATGATCACTTATAAACACTTATGAACACTTATGAACACTTATGATCACTTATGATCACTTATGATCACTTATGATCACTTATGATCACTTATGATCACTTATGATCACTTATGATCACTTATGAACACTTATGAACACTTATGATCACTTATGATCACTTATGATCACTTATGATCGCTTATGATCGCTTATGATCACTTATGATCACTTATGATCACTTATGATCACTTATGATCACTTATGATCACTTATGATCACTTATGATCACTTATGATCACTTATGAAAACTTATGAAAACTTATGAACACTTATGATCACTTATGATCACTTATGACCACTTATGAACACTTATGAACACTTATGATCACTTATGATCACTTATGATCACTTATGATCACTTATGAACACTTATGATCACTTATGATCACTGATGATCACTGATGATCACTTACGAATACTTATGATCACTTATGATCACTTACGAACACTTATGATCACTTATGATCACTTATGATCACTTATGAACACTTATGAACACTTATGATCACTTATGATCACTTATGATCACTTATGATCACTTATGATCACTTATGATCACTTATGAACACTTATGAACACTTATGATCACTTATGATCACTTATGATCACTTATGATCACTTATGATCACTTATGATCACTTATGATCACTTATGATCACTTATGATCACTTATGATCACTTATGATCACTTATGATCACTTATGATCACTTATGATCACTTATGATCACTTATGAACACTTATAATCAGTTATGATCACTTATGATCACTTATGATCACTTATGATCACTTATGATCACTTATGAACACTTATAATCAGTTATGATCACTTATGATCACTTATGATCACTTATGATCACTTATGATCATTTATGATCACTTATAATCAGTTATGATCACTTATGATCACTTATGATCACTTATGATCACTTATGATCACTTTTGAACACTTATAATCAGTTATGATCACTTATGATCACTTATGATCACTTATGATCACTTATGATCACTTATGATCACTTATGAACACTTATAATCAGTTATGATCACTTATGATCACTTATGATCACTTATGATCACTTATGACCACTTATGACCACTTATGACCACTTATGATCACTTATGACCACTTATGATGACCATTATGAACCACTTATGACCACTTATGAAACACTTTAACACTATATGACACTTATGATCACTTATGATCACTTTGATCACTTTGATCTTTATTGATCACCTTATGATCACTTATGATCACGTGATCCTTTGAACACTTAAATCAGTTATGATTCACTTAGATCACTTATATCACTTATGATCACTTATGCCACTTATGACCACTTATACCACTTATGATCACTTATGACCACTTATGACGCACTTATGACCATTTGACCACTTATGATCACTTATGACCACTTATGACCACTTATGACCACTTTAATGATCAACTTATGATCACTTATGAACACTTAAATCAAGTTTTATGATCCACTGATATGAATCACTTATGATCACTTCAGATCACTTATGATCACTTATGATCACTTTACTCACTTATGAACACTTATAAAAGCAATGGGGGGGGTTATTGATCAACTTATGATCACTTAATGTCACGTATGATCACTTAATGATCACTTATGATCACTATTAACACTTATAATCAGTTATGAATCACTTATGATCACTTATGATCACTTGATCACTTTATGATCATTTTATGATCATTATAATCAGATTATGACCACTTATGACCACTTATGACCACTTATGACCACTTATGACCACTTATGACCACTTATGACCACTTATGATCACTTATGACCACTTATGACCACTTATGACCACTTATGACCACTTATGATCACTTATGACCACTTATGACCACTTATGACCACTTATGACCACTTATGAACACTTATGAACACTTATGATCACTTATGATCACTTATGATCACTTATGATCACTTATGATCAGTTATGATCACTTATGATCACTTATGATCACTTATGATCACTTATGAACACTTATAATCAGTTATGATCACTATGACCCTTATGACCACTTGATGACCACTTATGACCACTTATGATCACTTATTTCTCCACTTATTACCCCTTATGACCACTTATATGACCACTTATACCCTATGATCACTTATGATCACTTATTGACCACTTAATTGAATCACTTATGATCACTTATGACCACTTATGACCACTTATGACCACTTATGACCACTTATGACCACTTATGACCACTTATGACCACTTATGACCACTTATGATCACTTATGACCACTTATGACCACTTATGACCACTTATGACCACTTATGACCACTTATGACCACTTATGACCACTTATGATCACTTATGACCACTTATGACCACTTATGACCACTTATGACCACTTATGACCACTTATGACCACTTATGACCACTTATGACCACTTATGATCACTTATGACCACTTATGACCACTTATGACCACTTATGACCACTTATGACCACTTATGACCACTTATGACCACTTATGACCACTTATGACCACTTATGATCACTTATGACCACTTATGACCACTTATGACCACTTATGACCACTTATGACCACTTATGACCACTTATGACCACTTATGATCACTTATGACCACTTATGACCACTTATGACCACTTATGACCACTTATGACCACTTATGACCACTTATGACCACTTATGACCACTTATGACCACTTATGACCACTTATGATCACTTATGACCACTTATGACCACTTATGACCACTTATGACCACTTATGACCACTTATGACCACTTATGACCACTTATGACCACTTATGACCACTTATGATCACTTATGACCACTTATGACCACTTATGACCACTTATGACCACTTATGACCACTTATGACCACTTATGACCACTTATGATCACTTATGACCACTTAATGACCACTTATTGACCACTTATGACTCAACTTATGATCACTTATGATCACTTATGACCCCTTATACCACTTATGATCACTTATGACCACTATGATCACTTTATGATCATTGTATTACCAACATGACGACCACTTATGACCACTTAAATCACTTATGACACTTATGACCACTTATGATCACTTATGATCACTTATGACCACGTTAATGACCACTTATACCACTTATGACCACTTATGAACCACTTATTGACCCTTATTACCACTTAGGACCACGTATGATCACTTATGACCACTTATAATGGCACCACTTAATGACCACTTATGACCACTTTATGACCACATGACCACTTATGAGCCCCGCCACCTTTATACCACTTATGATCACTTATGATCACTTATAATCACTTATGAACACTTATAATCAGTTATGATCACTTATGATCACTTATGATCACTTATGATCACTTATGATCACTTATGATCACTTATGAACACTTATAATCAGTTATGATCACTTATGATCACTTATGATCACTTATGATCACTTATGATCATTTATGATCACTTATAATCAGTTATGATCACTTATGACCACTTATGATCACTTATGACCACTTATGACCACTTATGACCACTTATGACCACTTATGACCACTTATGACCACTTATGATCACTTATGACCACTTATGACCACTTATGACCACTTATGACCACTTATGACCACTTATGACCACTTATGACCACTTATGACCACTTATGACCACTTATGACCACTTATGACCACTTATGACCACTTATGACCACTTATGATCACTTATGACCACTTATGACCACTTATGACCACTTATGACCACTTATGACCACTTATGACCACTTATGACCACTTATGACCACTTATGACCACTTATGATCACTTATGACCACTTATGACCACTTATGACCACTTATGACCACTTATGACCACTTATGACCACTTATGACCACTTATGATCACTTATGACCACTTATGACCACTTATGACCACTTATGACCACTTATGACCACTTATGACCACTTATGACCACTTATGACCACTTATGACCACTTATGATCACTTATGACCACTTATGACCACTTATGACCACTTATGACCACTTATGACCACTTATGACCACTTATGACCACTTATGACCACTTATGACCACTTATGACCACTTATGACCACTTATGATCACTTATGACCACTTATGACCACTTATGATCACTTATGACCACTTATGACCACTTATGACCACTTATGACCACTTATGATCACTTATGATCACTTATGACCACTTATGACCACTTATGATCACTTATGACCACTTATGACCACTTATGACCACTTATGACCACTTATGACCACTTATGACCACTTATGATCACTTATGACCACTTATGACCACTTATGACCACTTATGACCACTTATGATCACTTATGACTTATGACCACTTATGACCACTTATGACCACTTATGATCACTTATGATCACTTATGACCACTTATGATCACTTATGATCACTTATGATCACTTATGACCACTTATGACCACTTATGACCACTTATGACCACTTATGACCACTTATGATCACTTATGATCACTTATGACCACTTATGACCACTTATGACCACTTATGACACTTATGATCACTTATGACCACTTATGATTATGAACTTATGACCACTTATGAACAATAGTAACACTTATCTTCTCAGTTGTATGTAGTCGTGTTCCAAACGGCCGGGACTTGCCGAACTGGGCCCAGGTGGATCGATCCTGTGTGGGGCACTTCGGCTGCACCATTTTTGTTTGGTGATTTTTTTTGGGGGTCCCCTGTCTGACAGGGAAGCCCTAATCAGATAATCCAACTTTTCCAATGGTTAGTGATGGTTAATATTTCCAGTAAGTCTATAGATGGTTATATAATGAGTCACCTAAACAAAATCGCCCCACTTTTGGGCGATGTCCCCATTGCCCTGTATGATAGAGTATTCTGTTGCTTCAATATCAATGTCCCCAAAAAATATCCCATCCCATTGATTTGGATCTTTACTATATCTTATTGACTTGCTAAATGCGTTTTTCCACAACAAATCCGCATATCCTATGTTACATATGGGCCATATGGCGGATGGGTTAAACCATCTAATACCATCATTTGGGCAGATGAACATCCATTCTAGACTTTGATTCCACTTGAGCAGTGACACAAACATGTCTTGATTGGAAACCTCTGTTGATTGGTTATACTACCCGATAGGGCCGATATTTTTTTGGTATTATCAACATCCATGTACTGGCAATCCTTCTTGAACAACCAGTAAAATTGTTGACTGCTGAACAAGGATGTATGTTGTTTAAGATTAAATCAGTCATACTACAAGTTCAATACATGTTCACTAGTAGTGAACACGAAATCATAGTACAATGATCAATCCCTCACTGGAGCTGACGTGACCCAAACCACCCACTCTGGATTCATTATCCAATATAGGGATGGTCACAATCCATTATGATCAGTATGTGAATTCCTCATTAATCAATGGATAGTATATAATTATATATATATTGGATAGTTATAATCCCATGATTGGAATGTTCTACTTCTGGGATTTCCGATTCTCATCAACAGTGATTTATTATCAATGATAATCATGATATCATTGGATTATAAATCATAAAACATCATAAAACCCATATGATTATCATAAAACCCATCGTGAGGCCCCCGTTCGATAGCTAAGTTTCTTTATAACTTCAATGTCACTATGGTTTATGGTACGCAAATAACTATAGTATTCCTGGGGCTTCTGTTAACCAACTAACATCACAACGGGGTGCCTCACATTGTACAAATCATGGGATTTCGGACGAAAACGGCCAGGCAGTTTTCGCGAGCTGCTCGACTCAGAGCCTGGCCGAAGTCTGCAAGGCTTCGTCGGAGAAGCGCCATGGCGGCCGTAGCCGTGCGGGTCGCGAGTCGGGAGGGGGAAACGGTCGTGGAAAGATCCACCATTTTCCATGGGTAAATCCACTATAAATCAATGACCATTTTCAATAGCTTAAACTGTAAGTTTACCAGAGGCTAGTGGATATGGGATTCAAATGTACTTTCTGTATCTTTGTAGTGTTTTTCTATTGTTTTTCAATGTAATACTGGTATTATAATGTGTATTAATGTGTATAGTATTACGAATTTGTTGTTCTACCACTGTATGCATAACCAGAGCCGGGACTAATATAGATCGATATCAGAAAATGTTATGACATGTTATGACATGTTATGACATATATTATGACATATTGTAACATGATGGGTTATAATGGAACTTGTTCAAGCATTGCAGGGGACTGATGGTCATTGAATACTGACAAATAGAATCAAATAGAATCAAATAGATAGATGTATAAGTTGAGCAACCCCTACTGATTAGGGTAGAATGACCATGGTGGACAGAGAGTTATTTTGGCATTCGAAAAAAATTGAGCTCCAGTTTTTTGACACATGTTTGCTGGGTGGTTTCAACGATTCAGATTTTGTCTATCTAAAAATTATCCCAATATTTTTTTTCAACAACTGGCTGTGTGGCAAAATGGTGCCCCCAAAAGTGATGGGTTAACCCATGTTAACCCATGTTAATCCATGCCAGTATTGTGCATAAAGTCTTGTTGCTTAGATTTGTCTTATCATGTCCGACGATTTCCCCTAATGTTCTATTCGGGTACAGCATTCTCCATCACTTTCCCGTAAAAAAAATGTTCCCTTTTTTCCCCCATGATATTCACAGTATCGGGTCGAAATTGAGTACGAGAATTGTTGGATGGTTAATACATTTTAATACTAAAAACTGAAATAATCGATATTTATGAGCCCTTCCCGGGGTTTCAAGGAGCGTCTCGAAAGTGTGAAAGCTGGGGCCACCGCAACTGCCTCCGGAGCAGTTGCCATGGTGCCAATCAGTGCGTTGGATGAAAATTCGGGAGGTGATCCTCTGGTAATTTGTTGCATAGCCATGGTAGCCATGGTAGCCATGGCCCTAATCGAAAGTTCGATGATTTTCCCAGCGAATAGATGAAACCTCCATTTATTTTTGGGATTTTCCATGGCTATGTTAGTCATAACCAGATGGTATCCACTGGAAGTTTGTGCTGTAGCGAATTGGGAAAGCACCATTTTATGACATGCTAATCATGTTAATCATGTTAATCATGTTAATCGCTAGGTAAGTCATCATGTGGATCATCGAACTCAATGGCTGCTTTCACAGGAAACGGTTAAATGACCAGTGGCTAAATCTAAATCCACATTGTTGATGATTAAATATGGTTAACTCATGTTTAATCCTCATTGCGATAATGTGCCGGACTTGAAAAAGTTGTGGGCCCAAAAAAACAGAAATCCCTTGGTTTTACCTAAGTGTTAAGATTGAACAGCAAAATCAGTGCTGAGTTTGTAAACCAATGGATTTTGTTTGAAAATAGGCCATCAAATCCCCTGGTGAATCATCATGTTTCTCCTTAAAACCATCATAAATTGAGGTATCCCCCATTTCAGAGACACCCACATGTCAGACATGTCAGACATGTCAGACATGTCAGGCATGTCAGACATGTCATATCAAATCGGCTAGTGATATCCCATCATTGTTCAGATGAAATTCCCATTGTATTGCCCATGCATCAAACACAACATTTGTTTGAAAATCGGATACCCCTAATTTTTATGATAAAAACAACTATTTTGTTCCATGATTTTCACCATGATTTTCATGATTTTTTAAATGGGAGGCATACCCCATGGAATCCAAACTATCCATGTTTCAGCCTTTCAGCCCAGGTTTACTTGATCCAGATCGCTTCACTCCCCGATGGGAGTTCCAACTGGATATGTTGGCGTTGGATATTCTGCTCTTTGGTGTGGTGCAACACGGCAGATGTCGCTGGGGACATGGAGAGATATGGAGAGGTGGAAAAATCGACACCGGTTTTCCCATGGTTTTCCTTATCAAATCTGTCTGACAAGGAAAGAACAAAACATGTTCGCTGCAAACCCTAGGTTTGCCCGCGGCGAATCATATACTTAGCATGTCTTTGACATGCTCATATCCCTGCGTAGGGTTTAAGTTTTTGACTTTGCAAAACAACAAACCCTAAAAACCTAAAACCCTAAACCCTAAATTAAAGCCCTAAATCCTGAAAACTTAAAGTCAAAATCACTGCGTATAGCCAGTGTTTTCATTCATCCTCTGGTGATACGCATATCATATTGTTTGGATGTGTTGAGTGTGGGCGAACCCGAGGAATGGAGGGTACATGACTCATCTGGTGGTTATCTGCATTCCGCTGTTGGATCTTCTGCCAGCTCCACAGACGGCGTCCCAGGTATCGCTATGCTGTACGAAGTGGTGATGACAATCCTATGCTGAGAACAGGCGACCGATCTGTTCCAACCCTCACTACACTGACTACATTTGGATATGGATCAAAAATGATCAAAAGATCAAAAACCTGGAATTGTTTGATTTCTACTTCCACTGCTGTTCATCCCCTAAACATCTGGTTTTTTACGATGGACTCCATGCTTGCCGCTGCAGGTGTCGTTGGAGCCTTTGTACTGCCAAGGGCGCTATTCCTTGTGCAGCTTCCGGCCGAGTGCCAGGCTGTGGATGGTTTTTTTGTCAGGTACTGTACCCATGGACCCACAACTGCTCCAAGTCATTCAAAGTTGTGAAACAATTTGGGGATGTATCAAAACCAATCTTGCTATATTTGGGGGGATGAACATCCATTTACCAGTTATTTGGGGTTCACTAGGCTACCAAGGTTTTGACTCATACCCATTTATGAAACAAATATGCCCTAGAAAAAACAGACTATAACAGACTGGGAGTTGATATGGGTTGATCATGGTTGATCATTTGCTGAGTTGGGAAGTTGAAAGAAATTGTTTCAACGTATTGAAACGAGCATTGAACCAATGCTGTGACGATGTTGTGCAACAAGAGACATCCAGAAATTGCGATGTTTTTTCGGGATGAAGTTCCAAAATCCTAGCTATGTTGATGTTCACTGGCGAAACTGTTGGGTTTTGACATGTTTATCAATAAGGACTGAATATGGCACGGACCAAAGTTCATATCAGAAACCATGTCTCTTTCAAGTTTGACATGTTTTGACCCATCCCCAAGTTCTGATGCTTTTCCTCAGGCCTTGCCTTTGAGTTGTGGAGATCCCTTGGGCTATTTCAGCTGGTCGATGTTGGCACAGGCTTCGTTGAAGAAACAGATTTTGTTTTGTGTCCGAAGATAGGCTACCTTTAAGCAACTTAGCTGTTTCGTCACTCGCGTGCTGGCACTCAGCACTCGCGTGCCAGCACTCGCGTGCTCAGCACTCACTCCAATGCATTTTTCCCGGTGTGCATCCTAGTAGATATGTTTATCTTGATTTAGATAGTGGATGCTTTTATTGGAATAGGAAAAATGCATTGGAGTGACGATAAGCATGAGATATCATGAGATACTCATCACATTCATGAGAGCCGCACGAGTACCTCCAAGTGGCGTTGATTTTTTCAACACCCTGAAAGAAATTACCCTTTTGGAGGAAACGGGGAAACCCAAGATGCTTTTTTGGGAAGCGCAAAATGCATCCGGACGTCAGGCAGATATTCACACGTTACCGGATGCTTTTGTCACAGAAAAGTAAATGCACCGAGGTATGAATAGGATAATAAAACCCCATGCGTTTCGAACTTGCGATTTACTAGCCCTTTAAGGTCTAAAAATTGTATGGATGCTTTTTTCGGATCTAGTTAAATGCATTTACATATATCACAATGCTAAAAACCCACTGCGTGACGAACCTGCGTGCTAGCACTCAGCGTTGCGCGTGCTGCGTGCTGGAGTTGCTAAGTTAGCAATCGCAACTTTCATTCCCTCTGGTTATTTAACATAGCCATGGAAAATGGCCCATTTATAGATGGTTTACCTATTAAAAATGGTGATTTTCCATGGCTATGTTAAATAACCAGATGGTAATTGATTTTAATGGGGAAACCATGAACAAAAACATCAAACATGTGATGCGTTTCCCCTCAAGTTTCAGACGAACTCATGGTGCTCCGCTGCGAGGTTGTGTGGCAACTCTTTGCTGGTGCGGTGGTTTTCGCCTTTGCCTTCTATGGTTTGGAGAGAGCCATTGCATGTGGATTGGTTCAAAGATTTCAATCACAAAATTGAAAAGACTATATAATATGTATGTTCTAATTGAACACAAATCATGTAAAAATGAATCAACTGATATTTAAAGCACATATATTAG